CAAGGTCAGGAGATCGAGACCATCCTGGCTAACCTGGTGAAACCCCGTCTCTACTAAAAAAAAATACAAAACACTAGCCGGGCGAGGTGGCGGGCGCCTGTAGTCCCAGCTACTTGGGAGGCTGAGGCAGGAGAATGGCGTGAACCCGGGAGGCGGAGCTTGCAGTGAGCTGAGATCCGGCCACTGCACTCCAGCCTGGGCGACAGAGCAAGACTCCGTCTCAAAAAAAAAAAATAAAATAAAAATAAAATAAAATAAAATAAAATAAAATAAAATAAAAATTCAGGACACCTAGTTAAATCTGAATTTCAGATAAATGACGAATATAGTTTTTTTTTTATTATTAAAAATATGTCCTGTGGAATGTTTGGGACATACTTAGACTAAAAAATAACAAAAACACATCTGTCGTTTTTCTGAAATTTAAAATTCCCTGAGTATCCTGCATTTTATATAGAAAGACTACCCTGGCCCCTACCCAGCATTTTAATATCAAGTGATTTTTAGCCTGGACAATGTAGTAAGACCCCAGCTCTACAATAAAATTGAAAAATTAGCCGGGCATGGTAGCACATCACCTGTAGTTCCAGCTACTCAGGAGGCTAAGGTGGGAGGATCCCTTGGGCCCAGGAGGTCAAGGCTACAGTGAGCTATGATGGTGTCACTCACTCCAGCCTGGGTGACAGAGCAAGACTCTGCCTCTAAAAATAAAATAATAATAACAATATGGAGTGATTTTAAAATAATAGCCAAGGTAGGCCGGGCACAGTGGCTCACGCCTGTAATCCCAGCACTTTGGGAGGCTGAGGCAGGTGGATCACAATGTCAGGAGTTCGAGATCAGCCTGGCCAAGATGGTGAAACCCTGTCTCTACTAAAAATACAAAAATTAGCCGGGTGTGCTGGTGGGCACTTGTAATTCCAGCTACTCAGGAGGCTGAGGCAGAAAATTGCTTGAACCCAGGAGACGGAGGTTGCAGTGAGCCAAGATGGCGCCACTGCACTCCAACCTGGGCAACACAGTGAGACTCCATCTCAAAATTAATAATAATAATAATAATAATAATAGCCAAGGCCTCCTCTGCCCTCCCAGTTTTCAGGTATCCTGCAGCCCTTCACACCCAAGGTTGAGGTCTTCAGAGGCAGCACCCAGGGGAGGGTGGAGGGGAGCCCCCACCCCAGTCCCCAGCCCAGCCCTCCCCTCCAGGCCACCCTGCCCCTGGCTGGAAACCAGCCACAAAGTGTCCACAGCAGGTGGGTCTGAAGTGGCTAATGGGTTTTCTTCATTTGGCTTTCCAGTACATTCTAAATTGCTCCCCACAGACACGCTCCCTTTCTGGAAATGGCACCAGCAACTTCCCTGGCATTAGAGGTCCTGTCTCCCCAGAGCCAGCTGAGGCCAGGCTCCAGTTGATCTTGTCCCTTCAGCCCACCTCTGGGTTCCTCCCAACCCATCTTTCCTGGTGGTGAACACTATCTGTTGCCCCATGGGGTGGGTGCTGTCAGCAGGCGACCTCAGTGGGCAGATGCTTCAGGGACTGCTGCTGCCACAGAGTCACCTGCCAGAAGGCATGCCCAAACCCAATGCCTGATGGGCACAGGATGCTGGGGTCTAGGGCCTGACTCTCCCAAGAAAATGGGCATGACCTGAAAGGCTACTCTAGCCCCAGGGCACCCTGTTGCCTGTTGGGACTGCATCAGAGTCCACTTCCGCTTCATCCAGTCCCACTTCCTTCCCTGCTTTCCACAGTGAAGCTCTAGGACTCCTCCCCTACCTGCCTGCCAATCCTCATGGCTACTTCCTGGGACCCTAACCTGCCCCCAGGTCCGCAGCCCAGCCCTCCCCTCCAGTCCACCCTGCCCCTGGCTGGAAACCAGCTATGAAGTGCCCATGGTGGGTGGGTCTGATGTGGCTAATGGGTTTCCTTCATTCAGCTTTCCAGTATATTCTAAATTGCCCACAGCAAACCCATATTATTTTGGTAATAAGAAAAAATAATAAAAGCTACTTTTCTTTAAGAAAAATGTAAAACCAAACCAAGCAGCGTCCTTCTTATCTGGTATACCCACTCCTCCCCCAACTCCTCCACCTGGTTCCCCAGGGAGGGCCCCCCAAATCAGTGAATGCCCACACCCCTAATGTCCTCTCCTGTCCCTTCTGTCCTTCCAGACCTGTAGCCAGTTTCACTTCTCCAGGGAAGGCTTTCTACCACCAACTCATTCTTGCTGTGGGGATACCTGCAAACTTCCGAATGGGTTCCTCATCTCCTAATGGGAGAAGAGTGCAAAATATGTCCTGATATTGGTGAGGAGAGAAAGTAGATGATAGGACCAACAGTCACTCACTCAGTCCACAAGCCAGAGCTGGGTTTACTCTGTGCCAGGCCATGGGGCCACCGGAAACAGCACACAGACTCTGCCCCCACAGACCCCACAGCCCAGCAGGGAGAGGCCATCTACGTGATGGGAGAAGCCCGAGAGGACACTACGTGATGGGAGGGTTCCTAGGGGAGGCAGCCAGGCTGTGGGGAGGGGATTCATGGGTGGGGCTCCCAGCCCACTGGGGAAGCCTCTGGAGGGAAAAGGAGCCTCAGTGGGCTCCCGAGGGTGAGAGATTTGGGTGGGAAGGAAGAGGGAGAGGAGGAGACAGGAACAGCCTGTGCAACGGCCTGCAGGTGACAGAAGCCCCACTTGCCTGAGGAACTGAAAGCAGCTCAGGGCAGCCGGGGGCAGAGGGAGGGCGAGAAGGGAGAAACGGCCTGGCTGTGGGAACGGTGGCAGAGCCATGCTAGGGAGACTGCATGGCTGTCAAATAGTAACGTGGGCCATTGTGGAATGAATGAATGATTGAGTGACTAAATGTGAACTCTGGGAAATAGCTGGCAACCTAAAGGAGAGGATTGAGTCCCCTCTTGGGCTTTCCCTCTATTCCCCAGGACCAAAGAGCCACCCAAACCAGACAGTTCTCTTTAGGCCCTTCCTAAGCCTAGAAATGTTGACGTCCTTCACAGACACAGGCCTGTGGCTAGGCCAGAACCCTTGGTGGCAGCCTCTTCCTCTGAAGTGGGTTTGCTCCTCCACACACTAGGGTCATGAGACCCCTGAGAGCTTGCTATGAAGACCCCAGAGGCTGAGGACGGCCTGGCTTGGGCCTTCCCAGCTTCCCTGATGTTGACCTGGATTTTCCCAAGGACTGGGACAGAGGCAGAGACCCTGGTCTAAGGTTGGCACCCCAGGAAGAAAGTGCCAACCCAGCAGCCTGAGGAGAGCCAGACCTTCACATCAGGCCTTCCCCCAAGCCAGGACCAGGCCTGGACACTCAAACCAGGGGCCCATAAGACTCTCTGGAGCCAGCAGGTTGCAAGACTATCTCCAAAAGCCATAGATGCCCATCAACTCCAGGCTTAGGAAGGGCCTAGCCAGGCATGGTGGCTCAGGCCTGTAATCCTAGCACTTTGGGAGGCTGAGGTGGGCAGATCACCTGAGTTCCGGAGTTCAAGACCAGCCTGACAAACATTAATAAACCCCGTCTCTACCAAAAATACAAAATTAGCCGGGTGTGGTGGTGCATGCCTGCAATTCCAGCTACTTGGGAGGCTGAGGCAGGATAATCGCTTGAACCTGGGAGGCAGAGGTTGCGGTGAGCTGAGATCGCGCCATTGCACTCCAGCCTGAGCAACAAGAGCGAAATTCTCTCTCTCAAAAAAAAAAGGAAGGGCCTAAAGAGAACCGCCTGGTTTGAGTGGCTCTTTGGTCCTGAGGAATAGAGAGAAAGCCCAAGAAGGGGCTCGACCCCCTCCCTCAGGTTGCCAGCTATTTCCCAGAGTTCACATTCACTCATTCAATAAGTCATTCATTCCACAAATTATTTACTTGGTGCCAAAGCCTGCTTTGGTGCAGGGGCAATGACACGGATGAATCAGACAGATTCCCAGCCTGAAAGTACTTCCAGTCTAGAAGGAGATGAACAAAACGAATAACCCAGCCACAAGGCAGTCCAAGAACATAGGGCAGGGGGCAAGGATCTCACCTGCGGTATCAGGGAAGCTGCTGGAGGCGGTGGCTTGAGAGTGGTGATTTGGACATGTGATAGAAAGGCCAGGATGGAGGATGGAAGCTAAATCGCTGACAGACAGTCGTGTTTGCACCCCAGCTGTGCCAGGGGCTGGGGCAATGTGGGTTATTTATGGTTGTGCCTAGAAATAAGCGGCCATATGTGTCACTGCCTATGTGGTGCAGAGCTGGGCTGTTGTGGGTAGGGGCAGCTGGGGCTTGAAGCTGGGTCTGGCCAAGCTCCCGGGTTTGCCACCATGTCCCCTACACCCTGATGACCCTTTAACCTTTTCACAGCCTCTTGTAAGGTGAAAATAAGGGACAGAGACAGCTCCAACAGGCAGCAAGTGACCTGGGGCTTGCAGGCAGGGCAGTGCCCAGCAGCCCATGGCTTCTGTATCTGCGGGCCTTTTAGCATCATCACCTCCTTCTTGCCTCCTCCTCCCTCCCCGCTCCCATCCCAGCTGTGGGGGAAGGGGTAGGGGACAGAAGGAAATACCTTTAACCATAAGCCAGACAGGCATCATCTGCTGTGTTTCTCCCCAGCCCACTCTGATCCATAAATAGCCTACGCACCAAGCTGACACCAGCCCACCCACCCCTTCTGGTAGCAGTCCAGAGACCCGGACCGCCCGGGCCCAGGCCCCAGCTTCCCAAGGAACCTATTTCGGGCGCTTTTCCTGGGGTAAGGGCCTCCGTTGCCGGCTCGCTCCCCCAAGGGACCCAGCGCAGGGGCATCCTGACACTGCCTGGGTGATGCCCGAGAACTCTGTCCCCTGAAAGCATCCCCGGACGCGCACCCACTTCTCTCCAGGCAACTGCCCAACCCTTCCCGGGCTCTGGCCCAGGGAGATGTCAGTCCCGGCGCCCACTTCCAACACGCACTCCCTAACTGGACACCCACACACACAACCCCCCCGCCCTCTATTCAAGGGCCAGACCCCCTACCTGGGGGCAGGACAGCCAGGCACCATCGGCGGCGCCTCCGGGCTACGCGGGACGTCTGGGGCTCGGCCTCAAGCCCGGTCGACTTCCCGGGGGAGGAGGGGGCTGGCGCTGCCGCCGCCACCGCGTCTCTCTGGGATGTCGCCGGGGCTGCGGGAAGGAGGAAGGTCAGAGCCGAGGCGGAGAGGGGGGAAGGATGAGGAGGAGGCGTGCACAGAGCAGCGCAGATTAGAGAGGCATTTTTAGCGAGCCAATGGCAGCGCGGCAGGGCGGCGCGGTGGCTGCGCAGGTGGACGCGCGGCTGCTGCCTGGGAGGCAGCAACCAGTTTGGCAGGCGCCGGGGGTGGCGGGTGGCGGGTGGCGAGTGGGGTCCGGCTCCTCACCGCTTCAGCGGACCCCTGCCCCAGCAGTCTTGCTTGGTTCCCTCCTCCGGGGGCTGCCGCGGCCCCGCGCGTGCTGGGATTCCTCCCGCGCGCCCTCCTCCCTAGCCCTCCCAACTGGCGCGCTCGGAACCCGGGGTGTTGCTCCCCGCCTCTTTCCCCATCTCCCCACCGCCCTGGCCTTTCCTCCTCTCCCGAGCCTCGGCGTCCCTTGGTGCGTGCGGGTGCCTGTGTGGTGGCTGCGCCACTGCCCACCGATGCCCACCCCCTCCCGCAGCTTCTGCCCTGTGACCCCATGGGGCAGGGTCGCTAACCCTTATGTCCTAGTTCCAGCAGGACCGTCTGCCGCCAAGCAAACTCCAGGCCATGTCCTTGGGGCTCTCTAGGGAGCTTGGGGCCTAACAGGGGACCCTCAACGGCCTTCACTCTTCCGAACTTGAGCCCTGAATGCTGCCTGGAGCCTGGACGCTGCAGGGGGGAGCGGGGCACGTACCTATTGAAGGCCTGTTCTGTATCAGGCACTGATGAGGAGCTGGGCTGCAGCAGAGGACAGAACAGACCAAAACTCTGCCGTCTCATAGTTCACACATGTGAGGGAAGATGGATATTCAGTATCAGCAGCTAAGAGTGATTTTTTGTTTTGTTTTGTTTTTGAGACGGAGTTTCGCTCTTGTTGCCCAGGCTGGAGTGCAATGGCGCGATCTCGGCTCACCGAAACCTCCGCCTCCCGGGTTCAGGCGATTCTCCTGCCTCAGCCTCCCGAGTAGCTGGAATTACAGGCGTGCGCCACCACGCCCGGCTAATTTTGTATTTTTAGTAGAGATGAGGTTTGTCCATATTGGTCAGGCCAGTCTCGAACTCTCAACCTCAGGTGATCCGCCCACCTCGGCCTCCCAAAGTGCTGGGATTACAGGCGTGAGCCACTGCGCCCCGCCCAGAGTGTATTTTAAAGTGGTATGCACAGAGTAGAAAAATAAAGCCGGAGGAAGGGAAAGGAAGTGAGATTGCTCAGGACCAGAATGGGTCCCTGCCCTTTACATGTGTAGGGATTGGGGGCTGGGGGTGGTGGCTGAATTTGAATGTGAGCCCCTCAGGTAGGCGTGCAGACTCTAGTTTGCCACAGACCTAACTACTCCCTATTGTTTGAGCCTGGAATAGTCACATGTTTGTATTTCCTGACTTCCCTCTCCACGCACTTCACCAGAGGCACTGAAATTCATGCCCCAGTGACCCAGGGGAATGCCTGAATGCAGTATTTATTCGTGCAATAAGAATTCTCTGAGCACTGGGCCGGGCGCGGTGGCTCAAGCCTGTAATCCCAGCACTTTGGGAGGCCGAGACGGGTGGATCACAAGGTCAGGAGATCGAGACCATCCTGGCTAACCCGGTGAAACCCCGTCTCTACTAAAAAATACAAAAAACTAGCCGGGCGAGGTGGCGGGCGCCTGTAGTCCCAGCTACTCGGGAGGCTGAGGCAGGAGAATGGCATGAACCCGGAAGGCGGAGCTTGCAGTGAGCTGAGATCCGGCCACTGCACTCCAGCCTGGGTGACAGAGGGAGACTCCGTCTCAAAAAAAAAAAAAAAAAAAGAATTCTCTGAGCACTGATTGCATGTTAGGTGTTGAAGTCTGGGGGAACTCAACACCTAGCTGGGGAAGCCAGATGGTAGTATGTACCTCAAGGCTGACTAGGACGGCCAAGTGAGTGGACAATGTTCTGGAGAAGGTCAGTATAAGATTCTGGTTTAGGGCCATCCAGGAAGGCTTCCTGGAGGAGGCAGCATTCCAACAGGGTGCCAAAGGTTAACTGGGATTCTGATGAGCCAGACAGGGCAGGAGGCAGGGATGAATTGCTGGGAAAGGCCAGCAAGGCCAGGGGACATTTGGCAAGTGGCTAGGGCTGGGTCGTGGAGCACTGCTGGACACCCTCTATGCAAGAGGTATGCTGTTTGTCTTGGGTTGGTGAAGCCCCACCCTGCACTCCCACTCCAGCAGTTCCTGGTCCTAGCTGCCCTTACCCCAACCTAGAATTTCCCAGTAGCCCCAGAAGGAGGTGTGATGAGCATGTGGGTAGCCGTGGGGAGGAACATCAACTTCACTTAGTTGCTTGCTTGCTGGGTGAACATGGACAGGTAACTCAACCCCTTGAGATTCAGCCTTTTCATCTTAATAGCCATGCGGCAAGTTGCTTACTTGATCTGTTCCTTGGTTCCCCGGCTTGGAAAATGGGCATGGCAACAGCACCTACCTCACAAGACAATTAGGTGAACTGCTTAGCACATACATACTCAGTTAATTTTGTTGTATTTATGATGATGATGATGATGATGATGATGATGATGATGATTACACTTGCCTCATAGGGTTATTGCAATTAGACAAAGAACGTAAGTTACCTAGCATAGTGCCTGGGACTTAGTAGGTGTGCCAAAATAATGATATTATTATTATCACCAACTACATGCACCCCAAAATTTCTCCCTTTCTGGTCTACCACAGTGGTATGAAACACTCCTCTTTAGACAAAGCTTTATTTTCATTTTTATTTTTTTCAGACAGGGTGTTACTCTTTCGACCAGGCTGGAATAAAGTGGTGCAATCACAGTTCACTGCAGCATCGACCTCCTAGGCTCAAGCAATCCTCTTCCACCTCAGTTTCCCGGGTAGCTGGGACTACAGGCGCATGCCACCACACCTAGCTAATTTTTAAAAATTATTTGTAGAGACAGGGTCTCGCTATGTTGCCCAGGCTGGTCTCAAACTCCTGGGCTCAAATGAGCTGCCCACTTCAGCCTCCCAAAGTGCTGGGATTACAGGCATTAGCCACCGTGCTTGGCCTACCAGGACTTTTTTTAATGTAAAGAAGCTAATTCCCCAAGAGGCTCTTAAAGGACAATCTAGGATGGATAGACTAACAATTGGCCCCTCCCCTACTAATACATTAGCCTGGCTCAATGTGTCGTCAGGAGCTTTGATGTAGATGGAATGGAGCCCAGGCCTGGAAGGTTTTGAAAAGGCAGTGAAGTCCAGAGCACAGGACACTGACTGAGAGAGGACACTGACTGAGAGAGGACACGCGATGTTCCTCGGCCGCAGGCAGTCGGTGGAGGATGGCGAGAGCAGGAAGAGGACATTCACAGGGAAGGGGGTGTAATGCAGAGGGCACAGGGAGGACTCTGCCTTCGCAGGGGTGGAGCCACTTGGGGACAGTGTGGAAGGGCAATGGCTGGGCAGACCTGATTGGGCAGAGGTAGGGAGAGGGAGGAGGTGGGTGGGGAAAGGGGTGAGAGAGAAGACTGAGCTGGGCTTACTCCTTTAGGAGTTGAGGCTTCCCTAAAGCTGAATTCAGGCCTTAGCAGCCTCAAGCCCTGAAAAAATGAGAGTGGAATACACACACATGCACACACACACACCCCTGTCCTGTGTAATCTAAAATAAACTGTTATTTTAGGAATTGACACAACTTCCATGCCTCCTAAAATTAAACTAGCTTTCTTCTAGATTTTCTGTCTGCAAAACTTATGTTCATCAAAGATGAACTTTCTCTCTCTCCATCTCTCTCTCCTCTCACCTCTTTCTCTTATTGTTTTGTGCCCCTGCTCAGAGAATAAGACTTTCTCCCTTTTGCACAGCACTTTTCACTTTTCAAAGTGCTTTTCACATCTTTCTTCTCCTGAATGCACTTTTTTTCTTTTTTCCGAGACAAAGTCTTGCTCTGTTGCCCAGGCTGGAGTGCAGCAGCACAATCTCGGCTAACGGCAACCTCCGAACAGCAACCTCCGCCTTCCAGGTTCAAGCAATTCTCCTGCCTCAGCCTCTGGAGTAGCTGGGATTACAGGCGCCCGCCACCACGCTTGGCTAATTTTTGAATTTTTAGTAGAGACAGGGTTTCACCATGTTGGCCATGCTGGTCTCTAACTCCTGACCTCATGATCCGCCCACCTGGGCCTCCCAAAGTGCTGGGATTACAGGCGTGAGCCACGGTGCCCGGCCTCAGTGCACTTTTTCTCAGTCCCATTAAGATCTGACCAGCCTCAGTTTCCATGGTACCTTCCTTCCCACTGAGAGCTTCGAGCCCTCCCTCCATCAGCAGCCTCCTCCGTTAGGCTGTCTGTACCATAGAGGGCAATGAGGCAGGCCTACAGACCTCCCCAGAGGATTTTTCACATGCAGACATAACATGTGGAAAGGACAGACCAGCACTGGACAAGCCTGTGAAATCAACCAACCAATAAATGAATAATGGATGCTAATTAATATTGCATGCTTAGACTAGGAGAGCAGGAGGGTGGTGGTAACACTGTGGGTTCCCTTTTGTTCCATCCAATATGAAAGGCTTCAAGGAGGAGGTGGGGTTTTAACGAGTTTCTCTATTCTTACCACATCTCTGGGTAAAAAGAAAGGACATGGATTTTTTTCCCTAATTTTGGCAGAGCAGGACTCTGAAGCCCAGAGAGGGAAAGTGACTCATTCAAGGTCACACAGCACATCCGTGACAGAGCTGGGGCTAAAAACAGATCTCCTGACTTCTGGTCAGGTGCTGTCTTTGCCACATGATTCCTCCCCCACAAACCTGCATGGAGGTGGGCAGGTTAGAGCATGGAAAGCAATTGGCCCAGTCGCCCAGTGTGGTGGTGTATTTTCTGAGCTGCCTTTCTGCAGCACGCAGGGGCGTGAGCAGGACACCCCCAAGGCACAAAAGTACTTTAAAAACAGCCTCACAGCTCCTTCTGCCCTCGCCTTATCCTCCCACCAGCTGGCTTCACACTGGCAAACTGAATGCCATCACCTGCCTGGTGGACAGAGGCTGTTGCCAGCTGTGTCCTGAATCCTGAACCAGGATATCAGGAGCCTCAG